AGTTCTTGTGAATAGGGGGGAAAAGACATCAACTTTGACTCTATATGATCTGTTTCAAGAAAAAAGCAGAGGACGACTAGGAGGTTAATCAAGAAAAAAGAATTTATCCTTCTGTGGATCATCAAGATTTCCATACTCCTCATCCACAATAAATCCAATTCAGATGAAGATCATTGGGAATGGAAAATTTTGAACGATGCATCAGAGAAGAAACACTTCAAAAATTCCATGAACAAAAGAGAGTACCATAAGCAGTGGGTCGATCCACATGTGTTTTGGTAACGCTCTACATCAAGTTGAAGTTAATTGGCGTTTGTTTGCTTTTCTTTCTCGGGATTACTGTCTTTAAATTTCGTTCATATGTTCTCATTGTTACTTTCGTAGGGGATCCTCTTTCCTATCGATGAACTTAGTTCAACATTAAGGTTTGATTGTTCTTTATTTTGGAGTCGGCGTTGATAACATAAAAGAGTTAAATGGGCCGAGCAAGTGATTAGCATGACCTCGCACATTCATATTGTTGATAGGCATTGCTTTCTGAGGCAAAATGGTGGCTCAAAAGTACGAGGGGTCCCCGGAAACAGAGATTAAATTGACTATAAGCAGATATTTGAGGACAGGAAAAAATGTTGTAAGACGGAGATGACATCTATATAATTAGCCGCTCATGTGGATCGACTCGATGAGACAAAGAGTTGATGGTCACAGGTTACCTTTGTAGTCCACGTAATCTTCGATGCAAAGCGACTCAAATGTCATGCAAAGTTATAGTGTTTAGGTCAAATAAAGAAAACTTAATCTTGTATGATTCTTAAATTCAAATGTTGTTATTGGTTGTTCGGTAATGGTCTTGACAGTGCAACAGATCTCGGAAGCTTTATTGAGACTCCACAATCAAGTGTGGATTTGAGGCTCAAAATTGAATTTAGTACTCATCCATGGTTCTCATGTTTTGGATGGTTTTCACACTCTATTTTGTATCCTCTGTTAAAAAGTTTGTTTTGTCATTTTACATACATAGTTATGGTTTCTATAAAATTGCAGTTGACTAAAAAAAACCAGTAACAAATTAAAGATTTTTCAGGAAAATAAAAATATGCTTAAATATGTATAAATTAAACAATTATGTGAAACTTATTTTTAAAATTTGGTGACAGTTTAGC